GCCTCCACGGCGGTGCCCCCAGTGGACCTGTGTTTTGGCTGACCTGTGGCCAGGGTAGGCTCAGCTTCTCAGAGGATTCGTTGTGAGGCCACGAAAGCACCGAAGACTTAGCACCAAGAGCTTGATTCCAGAGTCTTCAGGAGAAGACGTTTGTGTACAGTGTTAATACCCCTCCCCCCGTGTAATCTTTTTATATATTATTTATTGGTGATGGTCAATAATATAATCTTAAGTTTTTGCCTTTATTTCCCTTCCCCTTTAAGTTACTTGCGTCACGGATCACATCCCTTGAAAGCCACTACTGGCTTGGGGCCGGATACAACTTCCTCTAACAACATCAGAGTACGAACCCCGTTGCGTCCCGAGAGGGCCGTAACATAATTGGCATCCCCAGCGGGATCCGTCCCTTTGTTAAATATGTTTGACAGGGGTGGTGAAGTGGCGTAATCCCTGTATATAATTCCCCCTGTGTGTGACGATTGTGACGTTATACGTCCTGTGCAGTGCTCAAGTGTGACTAAGTGCGATATTGTGCAGTGCGGTGCTCGCTGTGATTAAGCGATTAAGTGCAATATCGTGTAGTGCGGTGCTCGTCGTGATTCAGTGCAATATTGTAGAGCGAAGTGTTCGCTGTGATTCAGTGCAATATTGGGTAGTGCGGTGCCCGAAGTAATTACGTGCAATATTGGCAAGTGAGGCGCCAGGTGCGATAAAGTGCAATATTGACGTAGAACAGTGCTCGGTGCGTTAAGTGCTAACGTGAAAGCGGTGTGTTAAGTGCTAGTTAAGTGTTCCATCTGTGACAATGGCAGAAAAAGCTACCATCGATGATCTGGACGATGTGCAGGCTTTTCTGAACAGAGAGGACTGTCTTGCCAGATTAAAATATCTGAGCAAACCAGAACTAGTGCTAGTGAGCGCCTACCTGGAGATCAAGATCCGTGCCAGTGATTCCCGTGTGGAGATCTTGTCCAAGGTTCACCGGCACTTGAAGGCAGAAGAGAAACAGGAAGGCGAGACTCCTAGTACAAAGGAAGGTGAGGAAATAGCTTCCACGGAAAAGGAAGATAAAGGCAGTGACATTGACAGTGATGCAGGTGAGCTGAATATTAGCTTGCTTACAGTCAAAATGCGCGCCTTAGAGATAAATCGCGAGATAGAGTGGAAGAAGTTAGAAATAGAACGAGAATTAAAAGATAAAGAAATGGAGATGAAAGAAAAGGAATTGGCGATGAGGCGTTTAGAATTAGAACGAGAAGAAAGAAGAGAAGAGCGAGAAAGAGAAGAGAAACGAGAAAGAGAAGAGCGAGAAAGAGAAGAGAAACGAGAAAGAGAACAGCGAGAGAGAGAAGAAAACGAAAGACAGAGACAACATGAACTAGAAGTATTACGATTAGGCAGTGGTCGGAGGCCAACGACGGAAGCCAGCAGTTTCGATCCGGTAAGGAACATCAAAATGGTCCCAAAATTTAACGAGAGGGAAGTTTCAAAGTTCTTTGCAGCCTTCGAGAAAGTCGCTGCCTCTTTGGAGTGGCCAAGGGAGAATTGGGCCATCATGATACAGTCAGTCTTGACTGGGAAGGCCCAAATCGCCTACTCCACGTTATCCCTTGACGACTCTGGCGATTACGACAAGGTGAAGAAGGTTGTGCTCATGGCGTACCAATTGGTACCTGAGGCGTACAGACAAAAGTTCAGAAACCTGAAGAAGACCTCAGAGCACACTTTCACCGAATTCGCCACAATCAAGGAGCGACTTTTCCAGGAATGGTGTGCCTCTCGGAAGGTGGAGACCAAAGAAGACCTCGAGCAGCTTGTACTGCTAGAGGACTTCAAGGATTGTTTGTCTGGAGACCTGAAGACGTACTTAGAGGAACAGCAGGTAGAGACCTTGAGTGCAGCAGCCACAATGGCTGAGGAATACATCCTGACTCATAGGCCGTCTGCTAAGTACGTCCCAAGGCATTACCAACGCCGGTTTGACAGACCTCATGACGAAGAGGAAAGACCCGTCCCACAAAGCGCTAAGAAGACGCCCCCAAGTAGCCCTCGAAGGACGAGTCCTAGTAGTCCGAAACACCGGAGTCCGAGGAGGAATGTGGTGTGCTGGACCTGTGGGCAGAAAGGGCATGTAGCTGCTATGTGCCGAGGCAGAAGAGGTGGCGGCGCACGTAGGGAGGTGATGATGATGAGCTGTGTTACACCACCAGCAGGAAGCCAGTCGGCGACGACGCAGGAAGGACCAAGTTTGTTTGCCCCTCACACTTCAAGCGGGTACGTAACGAGTGATCATACTGGTAGATCAGTTGTAGTGCTCAGAGATAGTGGAGCAGCCCAGTCCCTGATCGTGAGAGACTCGTTACCCGAGGGAGTAAGTGTGGACGGGAGACAACAGGTTGTCCTGGTTGGATTTCCGAGGACGCAGTATATCGCCCCCTTAGTGCCGGTACATCTCAACTCGCCTTATTTCAGCGGCACATGTGCGTTGGCAGTAGTCGATACCCTCCCTGTGGCTGGGATTGACGTGGTACTAGCCAACGACTTGGTGACAGATTGGAGCATCAATCTTCCCAAGGTCGCGGACGAGTCAGCCAGAACAGCAAGGTCTGAGGTAACTACAGGCAATGGTAATGTCCAGGTAAAGACAGACCCGGATGTAAGTATGTTTAATCCTTCCTCTCACCCGCAGATCGACAGTGTTCTAGCAGAGTCTCCTGATTCTTCTCTCGACAAGAAACATGAGGTTACGATGGCAGAAGTACCTGAGCTAGAAGAGAGGCCTTGTGTGCAGGCACCCACGGATACCAACGAGTCTGGAGCGAAGGCGGATGTGTATTTGCGGTATAGCATTGTACAGCGTTCATTGAACCGGCCAGAGATTCCCCAGACGTCAGAGGTATGTGAGGTGTGTTCGAAAGGTTTAGTGCCCTCTTTGGTCCAAACCAGGCTAATGGATGTAGCCGGCTATGGACATTTCAAGCTCAGGATACTCGTCCCTAAGTTAACCAAATGTTTCTTAGCGGTATTTTTGATTCTTGTTCTCAGTAAGGACCAGTGGACGACCCGAAGGATGATGGCTCCCGTGAACACCTTGAAGAGGTCCCAGGGATTGGAGAAGTGCACAGTGAATGTTGCAGTTGAAGAAGGGACCTGGAAGGTAATGGTAGATACAGGAGGTACGAGAAATGATAATATGAGTGACTGTTTCCGACAGGTTGACACCCCCCGCGTGATTGCTGAGCCTCAATACAGCGTTATACGGAACGTTGGTCGACCTGACGTGGGCAGAGCGAATGCCGTCTTCGGTGTGCAAGCAGCCCTGTTGGAACTAGGTGTGGGCCTAGTAGAGGAGTATGCTGTAAGTATTGACTTTCCCACTGTCGCTATCACTCTGAATTATCAGACCCCTGTATTCCAGGTTCCCGTCTCCCTGAAGGACCACCGGACCGGTACTAGAAATACCGTCTGGGACCAGCCATCATCGGTGCCACGACACAGGGAAGTGTCGAGTCGCCCCAGATCGCGCCAACACCGATCCTTACTCGAGAGGTGTGAGATTATGCTCCGGATTAACATCTCGGTGGAGGTGTGGAGAAGTATGTCAGGCAGGTCATCGCATGCCATTTTCAAGTTCCCTTTGTGCCAGGGTTTCTCCTTAGTACAGTTCTGTGGACAAGACAGCCTCGCCATTCCAGTTCTTAGAGTGTGTGTCCATTTGGAGTTGTGTCCCCGTTCTAATTTGGTTTGTAATTCTCTTTCTAGAAACCCAAACCAAATTCTTTTTGGTTGGGAGGTGTTACGAACCCGGATCCAGTGTCCGAGCATGGAGCAGTGACGACCGCGCCATCTGTGGGTCAGCTCCCGAAACCCCCTCCAAACGGACGACGACACCTAGTGAGGACGACGTGTACTGGCCTCGAGGGCCAGTTTCCAGTCCTGTTCAGCGCTCAACACAGCCACCGCTGACCTCTGGTGAGGTGGTGCGCAGACGACAACGCCATCTACGGAGTGGATACGTCGGGCGTTTGTGTCTGAGCCTGTAAGTGAGGTGTTTTAGTGTCCCTGTTATTGATGACGTGTCTACTTACAGAGTCGACCTGGGACTGCTGTGATGGAAGTTGAGTCAGTCTACCCAAGGCGGCCGTCTCCATACCTTGTGCTTTGCTGCAGCAGCTGTGAAGTCGTCCCCCGGAAGAAACACTGTGGTGTTACCCTGCCAGTGGAGTGGCAGTAGAAGGATTACCCGGGACCGACTGCTGGAGACGATTATCCACTGGGGTATTGAGGACAGGAGAGTGATTTGTGGTATCACACGAGGCTCCTGACTAGGGCGTTACCCTAATATCGCTCGTGGAGTGGCCTTACCAGCGTTGCTGGTCCGGAACCTGCCAGCAGACCTGCTGGACTTGTGGTCGACGGCCTCCACGGCGGTGCCCCCAGTGGACCTGTGTTTTGGCTGACCTGTGGCCAGGGTAGGCTCAGCTTCTCAGAGGATTCGTTGTGAGGCCACGAAAGCACCGAAGACTTAGCACCGAGAGCTTGATTCCAGAGTCTTCAGGAGAAGACGTTTGTGTAGTGTTAATACCCCTCCCCCCGTGTAATCTTTTTATATATTATTTATTGGTGGTGGTCAATATATTATATTAAGTTCTTGACTTTATTTCCCTTCCCCTTTAAGTTACTTGCGTCACGGATCACATCCCTTGAAAGCCACTACTGGCTTGGGGTCGGATACAACTTCCTCTAACAACATCAGAGTAAGAACCCCGTTGCGTCCCGAGAGGGCCGTAACATTATTATGGTTAACAGTATCAAAGGCCTTTCTCAGGTCAATGAAGAGTCCAATCGGAAACTCACTTTTGTCAAGGGCTGAGTAGATCAAGTCAAGCAGACTAACAATTGTATCATTGATACTATCTTGGGAGCGGAAGCACAATTGACAGGGATTTAGTATATTGAATTTTACGAGAGAGGAGTATAGCTGTTTGTAAATAATTTTTTCAAATATTTTTGATAATATAGTTAGATTCAATATGGGTCTGTAATTATTTATATCTGCCGTGTTACCTCCTTTATGAACTGGCGTTACTCTTGCTTTTTTAAGGATATCAGGGAAGGTATGACACAAAGATTTATTGAACAGCACTGCTATGGGTGGTGCAAGGGCATGGGAGGCACTCTTGAAACCATCCATGGTATTTCACTAATGTTCCCCAGTTTTGGTTTTTAGCGAGTGAATGATGGACACAACATCTGATGGGCTGACTACTTACAAAACACATCCAACTGGTTACACTAGACTCAGATACCAATCATGACTCTGGCTTCAAACTTCCTATTCTAGTGTGACACTAGTCCTAGAGACCATCCACAACATAATTGAAACTGACCCAAATCACTACATGCTTCTAACTTGCACGTGGAGGTTACGTAACTCTAACATGGCAGAGCCTACTAGCCGACTGACCTCCCACTTGCAAATGAAGTGTGAGATGTTTACTCAGTGTATTCGTGGTATATCCAACGTAGCATATATTTCGGAGCTGTCTAAAAAAATGCATTTGTATCGATAAACTACATTAGTACATCCTTTTCAGGACACTTGAAGCCTGCGAAAGAAACTCCCTACCTAACACATGGAGTGAGTTCACAGCACTTCATATCCTAGTACTCACCTGTGATCCAGGTATACTGTGACAAGCAGGACAAACATTCTTATGGAATGGAGCAGCGTCACCTTTGTGGAGCAAACCGAGCAGCTCACTCTTCGTCTCTGGAATGCTGATATTCTCTTTGACTTCGAAAACAGAGAACACGAACACTCGCGGGAATGTTGTATTTGACACATCAGGTTTTTTCAACATTGTGAGGAAGTCTGAAACAGATTCGAACCATTTTATATGCTTCATATTATATATATATGGGTATATATATTATATATATATATATATATATATATATATATATATATATATATATATATATATATATATATATATATATATATGTCGTACCTAGTAGACAGAACCCACTTCTCAGCCTACTATGCAAGGCCCGATTTGCCTAATAAGCCAGGTTTTCATGAATTAATATATTTTCTCAATTTTTTTTCTTGTGAAATGATAAAGCTACCCATTTCATCATGTATGAGGTCAATTTTTTTTATTAGAGTTAAAATAAACGTAGATATATGACCGAACCTAACCTATCTTTATAGGTTAGGTAGCCGAAAAAGTTTGGTTAGGTTAGGTTAGGTAGTAGAAAACCAATTATTTCATGAAAATTTGGCTTATTAGGCAAATCGGGCCTTGCATAGTAGGCCGAGAGATGCGTTCTGGCTACTAGGTACGACATTATATATATATATATATATATATATATATATATATATATATATATATATATATATATATATATATATATATATTATATATATATATATATATATATATATATATATATATAATATATATATATATATATATATATATATATATATATATCATCGCCAACATCACAGACGAAAAGGCCCTTATCAAGCTAGATTTCAAAAATGCCTTCAATTTGGTGCGGAGGGATGCTGTACTCCGTGCGGTTCATAGTCATTTCCCTTCCCTCTACCCTTTTGTACATTCATGCTACAGTATGGATCTTAAGCTACTTTTTGGCGAACATGAAATTGACTCGCGAGAAGGCGTCCAACAGGGTGACCCCCTCGCTCCTCTCCTTTTCTGCTTAGTCATCAAACAAGTCACAGAGGTCCTGTCCAGCGAGCTTAACATCTGGTTCTTGGATGATGGTACCCTAGCTGGTTCCCAAGACTCCCTCCTGGAGGACATCAGAAAAATCCAGGAGCAAGGTGCAGTTTTAGGCCTCACCCTGAACCCTTCTAAATGTGAAATAATATGTTCCAACCAGGGCATCGTAGAGAGAATAGAGGGTCTTCTACCAAATATCCATAAAACTAAACCTGAAGACAGCACACTCCTAGGAGCTCCCCTGGGGTTGAAAGCCATCGATGAGGTCCTTGATAAGAAAATCGCCGACCTTAAGAGGATGGATGGGAGGATTGAGGATATTGACGCTCATGATGCACTCTACCTCATCACCAGATGTCTGTCCCTCCCCAGGTTAACCTACTTTCTGAGGTGTTCACCATCTTACAGTAGCCAAAAACTAAATGAGTATGACCGGTTACTGAAATCAATGCTAGAAAAAGCCCTTAACCTCTCTCTCGATGACCTACAGTGGAAACAAGCCTCTCTTCCCGTAAGACTTGGGGGCCTCGGAGTTCGAACAGCAACGCAAATCGCTGTTCCAGCCTTCCTGTCCTCCTTATCAGCATCCGACGACCTTGTGAAGGAAATTCTACCTGCCCACTTACATCAGCTGGCAGGTGTACATGATCCCAATTTTACACGCTGTGCCACAGAGTGGGCCTCTCGTGCAGGCCAATCACCTCAACCACCATCCCCAAAATCCTACAAGCAATCCAGCTGGGATGGTCCCATTGTAGACCAAGTTGCTGCAGAGTGCCTGGGTGCTGCAACAACACAACACGACATTGCTCGCCTCACAGCAGTACCAGCACCACATGCAGGGGATTTCCTGTTAGCAACCCCAATGTCGGCAACTGGCACGCGTCTCACACCACACGCCCTCCGAATTGCTGTGGCCCTCCACCTTGCTGCCCCAATCCACACCAGATATAGGTGTATTTGCAGCGAGGTGGTGGCTGACAGGTACGGTCACCATGGCCTACTCTGCCAAAGCACAGGGGGATGGCACTCGAGGCACAGTGAAGTTAACGACATCATCAAGAGGAGCCTCACCACAGCTGGATGCCCAGCTGAAAGAGAGCCCCGTTACCTAACGCCCCGTAACTCTGATGCTCTTATTGGTAGCCCGGATGGTATCACAGTGAACCCCTGGAAGAATGGCAAGCAGTTGGTATGGGACTACACGTGCGTATCAACCCTGGCTAACACCTACATTAACCTCAGTGTTGCACAACCAGGTGGCGCTGCCACCCACAGGGAAGCAGCCAAATCCCGTAAGTATAGAGAACTGGATCACCACTACAATTTTGTCCCCATTGCTTCTGAGACGCTCGGCGCCTGGGGTAAAAGTGCTACCAGTTTTTTGAAGGAACTGGGTTCTAGGCTCATTGAAACAACAAGGGACCCGAGAGCTGCAAGCTTTCTTTTCCAGCGCCTCAGTGTGGCGATACAGAGGGGAAATGCGCACTGCATCCAGGGTTCCTGCCCGCCATCTGAGGAGCTGGAGGAACTCGACAACCTATGACAACCATCTTTGTAACCCATATGTAACTCCTTTTTGTAACAAAGTTCAAATAAAGTAAATATATATGTGTACATACAAAAGAATGGGGGTGGTAGGAGAAGATAATATTAGTGTTCAGTGAGAAACCACAAGGTCTCCTCTGAATACTTTTTAATTTCTTCTCCGAGGCTATGGGTCCCCACATTGGCACCAGAGGTGGTACCCTCTATATATATATATATATATATATATATATATATATATATATATATATATATATATATATATATATATATATATATATATATATATATATATATATATATATATATATATATATATATATTAGTATATTTTGGTAGCAGTCTTTCCTGTAGACATATATTATTAAATATGACCGAAAAAGTAAGATTAATAATTCTAACACGAATTTTCTCAATCTTTCGTACATTTCTTTTCACTGTTGGAGGTAAATCAAAAATCAATTCTCCAAAATTCATTTTTATTTCTAGTCTGTCGCGACACGAGTGCGTTTCGTAAAACTTATTACATTTTCAAAGACTTTAGTTCACAAATACACAACTGAATAGAACTTACGTATCTCCGATTTTATATCTACATTTGAGTGAGGTGGAAGGGGTGATGTGGCATTAACACAAGACAGAACAAGATGTGGCATTAATAGGGTATTAATTTCATCAACACAAGACAGAACAAGAGTATTAATAGGGTATTAATTTCATCAACACAAGACAGAACACGAAACAATGGATATTGAATAGAAGTCTTTGTAGAAAGCCTATTGGTCCATATTTCTTGATGCTTCTATATTGGAGTGGAGTCTTGAGGTGGGTAGAATATAGTTGTGCAATAATTGGCTGTTGATTGCTGGTGTTGACTTCTTGATGTGTAGTGCCTCGCAAACGTCAAGCCGCCTGCTATCGCTGTATCTATCGATGATTTCTGTGTTGTTTACTAGGACTTCTCTGGCGATGGTTTGGTTGTGGGAAGAGATTATATGTTCCTTAATGGAGCCCTGTTGCTTATGCATCGTTAAACGCCTAGAAAGAGATGTTGTTGTCTTGCCTATATACTGGGTTTTTTGGAGCTTACAGTCCCCAAGAGGGCATTTGAAGGCATAGACGACGTTAGTCTCTTTTAAAGCGTTCTGTTTTTGTGTCTGGAGAGTTTCTCATGAGTAGGCTGGCCGTTTTCCTGGTTTTATAGTAAATCGTCAGTTGTATCCTGTAGTGTAGACACTAAGGAAACAAACATAGGAATGTGCCTAAATGCCAACAGCGACTGCCCAGACAGGTACAAGAGGAGTGTTGTTAACGCATATGTCGACCGTGCTCTCAGCCACAGCTCAGAATGGAAGCAAGTCGAAGAAGAACTCTGTAGGGTAAGGCAGGTCCTAGTCAATAACGGCTTCTCCAATGGTTTCGTCGAAGACATCATAAGAAGGAAAGTGAAAAGCCATGCAACCTCTGAAGAGACAACTAACACAACACCTATACCCCCTATTAGACTATTTTACAGGAACTTCTTTTCCACAGCTCATAAAACGGAGGAAAGGGTCCTGAAAGATATTTTTAATAGGAAGGTTATCCCTACAGACAAAAATCAGAGGATACAACTGACGATTTACTATAAAACCAGAAAAACGGCCAGCCTACTCCTGAGAAACTCTCCAGACACAAAACAGAACGCTTTAAAAGAGACTAACGTCGTCTATGCCTTCAAATGCCCTCTTGGGGACTGTAAGCTCCAAAAAACCCAGTATATAGGCAAGACAACAACATCTCTTTCTAGGCGTTTAACGATGCATAAGCAACAGGGCTCCATTAAGGAACATATAATCTCTTCCCACAACCAAACCATCGCCAGAGAAATCCTAGTAAACAACACAGAAATCATCCATAGATACAGCGATAGCAGGCGGCTTGACGTTTGCGAGGCACTACACATCAAGTATATATATATATATATATATATATATATATATATATATATATATATATATATATATATGACAGTGTTAGACCACGGAGGAAAATTGAAACAGGAATTTCCTTAACAGGAATAAGGAAATTCCTGTTTTAATTTTCCTCCGTGGTCTGACACTGTCACATTTTTAATCACGTGTTTATTTTCGTGATATACACACACACACACACACACACACACACACACACACACACACACACACACACACACACACACACACACACACACACACACACACACACCAGAACGTACTTCTCGGCCTACTATGCAAGGCCCGATTTGCCTAATAAGCCAAGTTTTCCTGAATTTATATATTTTTCAATATTTTTTTCTTATGAAATGATAAAGCTAACCATTTCAATATGTATGAGTTAATTTATTTTAAATTTGAGTTAAAACTGACATAGATATACGACCGAACCTAACCAACCCTACCTAACCTAACCTATCTTAATTAACCTACCCTAAACAAACACAATTATGTCAATAATTTATGTTCTTAATATAATTTAATAATAATAATAATTCAAATAAACTAATTGGAAACAATTTATTGAAAATATAGAAAATCACTCGGCCTATTAGGCAAATCGGGCCTTGCATAGTAGGCCGAGAAGTGCGTTTTGGCTACTAGGTACGACATATATACATATATATATATATATATATATATACACACAAGAGTTCTTACATTCTTTTCAAGCCACTAGCACGGATAGGGTTTTGGGTAAGTCCTTAATCCTTTAAATTTCCCTGGAATACGACCCGCCAATTCGTTTAACAACCAGGTACCCATTCACTGCTGGGTGAACAGAGGCTACAGTTAAAGATTAGCGCCCAGTCAATCCGCCCCGGCCAGGATAGGAACCCGACTAATTATAACTTTTCTTATGATGTCTTGCTGCCATTGCTACTGTTGCTGGTATTATCATGGCTGATTCTAGTGTTGCTGCTGGTATTACCACCGCTGATGCTGGTGTTGGCGCTGTATCTGTTGTTATCAATGTTATTTACTGTATAGACGCCTCACCTGGGATAAAGTCGACTGAGGGATAAAGTTCCACATCTGCTGGGAAGACGAAGTAGGTGCGAGCGGCCAGCCTGGCGATATTCCTCGCCACATTGATGGGGTAGAGGAGCTTGTTGTGGGCCCTGTAGGTGGTGATGTTGGTCAGGTTGGGGGCCCCCGCCTGGCAGTTTACCCGCCTGCGCAACATCTCCTCCCTCGAGGGGATCTGGGTAGCAAGGAGACGGCAGTTACAAGACAGAGACAAAAATGGTGACGAAACCACACATCAGAAGATGGAGAAACGTCGTCGTATGTCAAATTCGATGATATATGACTTGAAATGGTCCAGGATGGACTAAAACGTCGTCGATGTGTATGGGGCAAGTAACAAAGTCAGTAGACTAACAGATGTTGTCACAGCTCGTATAAGACTTGGCTACAAGTATCTCTGGCAGTTCGGCTTGTATAGGGATCTAGATGAAGTAAAGTGTAAAGTGTGTGGACATAGGCAGGGACACACACTCGAACACTATATCTTGGATTGTTGTAAAATTGAGCCTTTTAGAGATAAATCTAAGCTCACTCTGTATGATATGGCAACCTATCTTATTACCATCTTGAGGTTATCTTGAGATGATTTCGGGGCTTTAGTGTCTCCGCGGCCCGGTCCTCGACCAGGCCTCCACCCCCAAGGAAGCAGCCCGTGACAGCTGACTAACACCCAGGTACTACCTATTTTACTGCTAGGTAACAGGGGCATAGGGTGAAAGAAACTTTGCCCAATGTTTCTCGCCGGCGCCTGGGATCGAACCCAGGACCACAGGCTCACAAGTCCAGCGTGCTGTCGGCTCGGCCGACCGGCTCCCTAATGGATAAATTACCTGAAATCCTTGCACTGTACCCACATTTCGCTTCCAGTAGATGAACGACATATGAGATTCAGAAACAAGTGGTGTATTGTGAGGACTAATAATAAACAGAAGCTCCCCTATGACTCTGTAATATCCCCATTGGCCAAACTATTATGTATTAGCGATAAGACCTACCAATAATGTATGATGACTTACTGTAAATATGTAGCTCTTGTAATAGCACTCTCTCTGTAACTAGCTAACATTGTAACTATAAGGTGTGAAGGATAGAAGAAATTGTTTAGGTAATAATCTAAGATGAGGTCTGATAAAGACCTTTTGTGCCCTCTGTCATGCTTTTGCGCTACCGCTCACAGGATCAGTATGGGGTGCACAATAAACTAGCCGCCTTCGGCAGCAACAATCAAATCATCGTCGATTCTCCATCTTCTGATTTGTGGTTTGGTCATCATATCTTCTGCCACGTTATTACGACTCATCATCTGTATAAAGAAAAAAATGGTTTAGTGTATTGATATCACGTCAATTCTAACACCAGAGGAGCATACGAACATAATTACATTGGCAGCTGAACGGGAACCTCTAAAACAAATATTGTTTAGTTGGGTTGCTTTGTACATTCCTCAGTAGAAGTATAATGGTGCCTATAAAGCCTTTTCGGGATCCCTTTTCGTCATATAAGATATAGGGACAGGGGGATTGTTACTGTGAGGGAATGAAATTTCCAGCTAGTTTTTCTAGACTGGGCTAGAGTGTATGGTGCACTCTAGCGCTCTAGTGCTCTAGAGACAAGAAGTTCACCCATGCCCTATATGCCCAGGTGGCATGTTGCTACCTCCACCGCCGTTATCGCCGTGTAATCATTAATTTCCTTATCACTACGGTGACCCTGCTATCGTGAATCATACCTGGATCCAATTCGCGTGATCGTGGAACAATTATTAAGGAAACGAATTGAGAAAATAATCTGAATGAGTGAACACGTGCTCAGCCGAGGCACGAGGCAGCCTCGTTGTGATCTGACGTTATTGATAACATTCGTGGTCGTCTGTTATATTGACTATGATAACTGGCTAGAGGTGGAATCGGGTACCTGGTTACCTGGTTGATGGGGTTCTGGGAGTTCTTCTACTCCCCAAGCCCGGCCCGAGGCCAGGCTTGACTTGTGAGAGCTTGGTCCACTAGGCTGTTGCTTGGAGCGGCCCGCAGGCCCACATACCCACCACAGCCCGGTTGGTCCGGCACTCCTTGGAGGAATAAATCTAGTTTCCTCTTGAAAATGTCCACGGTTGTTCCGGCAATATTTCTTATGCATGCTGGGAGGACGTTGAACAACCGCGGACCTCTGATGTTTATACAGTGTTCTCTGATTGTGCCTATGGCTCCTCTGCTCTTCACTGGTTCTATTCTACATTTTCTTCCATATCGTTCACTCCAGTACGTTGTTATTTTACTATGTAGATTTGGTACTTGGCCCTCCAGTATCTTCCAGGTGTATATTATTTGATATCTCTCTCGTCTTCTTTCTAGTGAGTACATTTGGAGGGCTTTGAGACGATCCCAATAATTTAGGTGCTTTATTGCGTCTATGCGTGCCGTATATGTTCTCTGTATTCCCTCTATTTCAGCAATCTCTCCTGCTCTGAAGGGGGAAGTGAGTACTGAGCAGTACTCAAGACGGGACAACACAAGTGACTTGAAGAGTACAACCATTGTGACGGGATCCCTGGATTTGAAAGTTCTCATAATCCATCCTATCATTTTTCTGGCTGTCGCAATATTTGCTTGGTTATGCTCCTTAAACGTTAGGTCGTCAGACATTATTATTCCCAAATCCTTTACATGCTCTTTTCCTACTATGGGTACATTTGATTGTGTTTTGTACTCTGTATTATGTTTAAGGTCCTCATTTTTACCGTACCTGAGTACCTGGAATTTATCACTGTTAAACATCATGTTATTTTCTGATGCCCAGTCGAAAACTTTATTAATATCAGCTTGAAGTTTTTCAATGTCCTCAGCCGATGTAATTTTCATACTGATTTTTGTGTCATCTGCAAAGGATGATACGAAGCTGTGACTTGTATTTTTGTCTATATCTGATATGAGAATAAGGAAAAGCAGCGGTGCAAGGACTGTATCCTGAGGTACAGAGCTTTTAACTGCACTTGGACTAGATTTTATATGGTTGACCGTTACTCGCTGAGTCCTGTTTGACAGAAAACTGAGTATCCAGCGTCCTACTTTACCGGTTATTCCCATTGACTTCATTTTGTGTGCTATCACGCCATGGTCACATTTATCGAAAGCCTTTGCGAAGTCCGTGTATATCACATCAGCATTCTGTTTTTCTTCTAATGCCTCAGTGACTTTGTCGTAGTGCTCAAGTAACTGTGAGAGGCACGATCTCCCCGCTCGAAATCCATGTTGGCCTGGGTTGTGAAGGTCATTGGTCTCCATGAAATGGGTGACCTGACTCCTAATCACTCTCTCAAATACTTTTATGATGTGCGATGTTAGTGCAACTGGTCTATAATTTTTTGCCAATGCTTTGCTCCCTCCCTTGTGTAGAGGGGCTATGTCTGCTACTTTAAGTGCATCTGGTATCTCCCCCGTGTCCAAGCTCTTCCTCCACACTATACTGAGTGCCTGTGCTACCGGCACTTTGCATTTCTTTATAAATATTGAATTCCGTGAGTCTGGACCTGGGGCCGAGTGCATGGGCATGTTTTCAATTTCTTTTTCAAAATTTAGTGCGATCGTGTATATATCAGTTATATTTACAGGGGTTTGAATATCCCGCATAAAGAAATTGTCTGGATCTTCCACCTTCATGTTGTTTATTGGAGTGCTAAACATGTCCTCATACTACTTTTTTAGGATTTCACTAATTTCTTTGTCATCCTCCGTGTATGAACCTACACTTGTACGAATAGGTCCAATACTGACAGTGGTTTTTGCTTTTGATTTCGCATATGAGAAGAAATATTTTGGATTTTTCTTTATTTCCTGAATTGCTTTCTGTTCTAACTGCCTTTCTTCAGTTTCATATGAGTGTTTATATTTCCGCTCGATTTCTTCAATCTCCCTATTTAAATTATTCCTTCTTTGACGGGAAATTCGTGTCTGCATAAGCAGTTCCGTTATTTTTTCCTGCGTTTATAGTGTCGTCTGCGTTCTCTTTCTACGTTAGATCACTTTCTGGCTTTCCTCAAAGGAACATGTTTCAGACAGACTTGATACGCTTCTGAAGTCAGTTTTTCTATTCCTTCTGTAGGACTTGTATTACTTAGAACAGTTCCCCATAGAATGTTTGTAAGTTCCCTTCGGGTACGGCTTCCCGGTGTTCAGGGGAAGCCCTCAAGTGTAATTTTGGGGAGATTACAGGCCCATGTTACATTGAAATTTCACCTTGCCGTGTCATCCATGTTTCGTCACCGCCATCCATTACACCCGGTGTCCAAATTCGGCCATACGGGCAAACGGCCAAAAGCGACGTTCTTTTTAAGAGGACAGGTTGGTCCTTCCACACCGACTGTATACATCTGAGGCCAGCGCGGCGCACCACTCCATGGCCACACCCTACCGCCACACCCTGTGGCCACAACGGGTCGAGTTACATGGGTATGGCAAAACCACTTGGGAGCAAGTTGTATGATCTGCTTCAACCTGGAGGGAATGTATGTAAGGATAAATGCGGAGACCGGTAACGTGAGTACTCAGATTTATGAAATTACAGTGTCTCAGTAGTAGGCATCCGGTAGGTTGATTAGGGGGAGAAGCTGTTACCCAGGCAGCAGGTTCCCCCTCTTCACGTCGCTGAAAGTCTCCAATGGAAAAACATACGCTAATACGATTTCAATACATTTCATTTCGATTTCAATGCCAATACATCACCAGTTCCTGCGCCGTCGCAGGGAGCCGGTCGGCCGAGCGGACAGCACGCTGGGCTTGTGATTCTGTGATCCGGGGTTCGATCCCGGGCGCCGGCGAGAAACAATGGGCACAGTTTCTTTCACCCTATGCCCCTGTTACCTAGCAGTAAAATAGGTACCTGAATGTTAGTCAGCTGTCACGGGCTGCTTCCTGGGGGTGGGTTTCCTGGTCGAGGACCGGGCTGTGGGGACACTAAAGCCTTGAAATCATCTCAAGAAGATCTCAAGAATAACGTGTTGCAGGTTCCTGCAAGCGTGTGGGGCCGTGACATTTATTTGTTATGTCACTGAGAGTTTGACCTATGTAACCTGAGGTTACTTTATGTTTTCTTTAAGTTGTGTTGATGATTTAAGGATTCAGTGAGAGTTAATTAAGGGGTAATTAACGTCATAAGGGGTTGCACATTACTTAATGAGGGAGCTGTTATGGAAAACAGTGTTGCGCTTGTCCAGATACGTTTCAGGTGCAATTAATTGTCCGTGTGACAACTAATTTCCCACTCTAGCTAATTATGTAATTAGCATTCTTGTCATGAATTCACATAGTGGGGAGGAACTGTCAAAGGTTGACAGTATTTGTGTTAACGTAATTTGCTCGTGACTAATTACCAGTCTGGGACGGCAATTAATGGCTCATGTTAATTAGTGGAGTAATTAACGTCAAAGGGATTGACTGACTCGTAGGGCGATGTCATTGGGCTAGCGTAACTCGTTGGATTAATTTGATCTGTCGGGGGACGGTAGATGATTAAGCACTCATGTTAATTCGGATAATTAACACCTCCTCCGGGAATTCACAGTGTTTGATGAGACCTGCTTAGGCAGTGCGGAGTGAGACGTATTTATGTATAATTAATTGTCGGTGCAGGTGACAGTTAAATAATTGCTCTGGGTTAATTAGGGTAATTAACACTCATTAAAGTAAGTTTGACATAGACTGTTGAGAAGCTTCCAAGAGAGAGTGGTAGGCTTAGTTAACGTAACTCGATTGGAATTTAATTAGTTGTCCGTTGATAATAATTGGGAATTACTCACTGAATGCTTGAGAGGGGTCAAGTGTGATGTAATTTAGAGATAACGAGTTAGTGTTAACAGTGTGACTTGTTGTAGGAGACAAGTGTTGGTGATTAACATAGAGTACTATTGATGTTTGTTGTCTGAGAGAGACAAGTGTTCGTGATTAACGTAGAAGTACTTTGTTGCTGGCTGCTGTTAACAGTCAATTAATGTAATTAATCACATAATCAATTTTGCAATTGATTAAGGCAATTTGTTTGATTATCGTCTCTGAAGATGAGAGTTAAAGTAACTTGGTAGTTACTGGAGAAGTGTCTCAGGACCCCACCTTGCCTAACTTTGTTTACATTTGCAATTTCATTGCAGGGAGTCGCATAGAGTGTTCACAAAAGACACTGATAGGGGGGTTATCAGTGTTGGATTACCCACCTCGCCGGGAGGGCTGCCAGTGCCAGTAAGATTGTGATTATAGTATATTGCTCACCAGGAGGGCCGTGAGATATATTGAGTGCAAGCTTGTGTCACCAGTGGGCACCATTGTTCAGTTACTTTATTCAGTCAGCACGCAGTAACCGCAATATGCAGACTGTTGTTTTTTCTCGAGGGGCTGTTGAATAGCTGTCTTACAAGAGCCACTGGATGAACATTAACGTAACGTAACGCTCACTGTTGTGTAAACGTTGTCTTGTGAATTATTTGTTTGCAATGTTGCGTCGTCAGTGGGCACACCTGTGTTCAGGTTAGTTCAGTATTCAGCCATGCAGCAATTGACAGGAGTCGTTGCTATTTCGGGGTTGTTAAGTAGCTGTTGAGTGCCACTGGATGGACATTAACGTAACGTAAACTCGATGTTGTAGCCGTTTAGTCTCTGTTAATAAACTTGTTATTGTTATCGAAAACGGTCTTTGATGTCAACCCTTCAACCATTCTTGTTCCACTCATGTTCTGCTTTGTTTTCCACCACACAGGTTTTCACCCGTGTGGTGGAAGCCTGGCGGTTTGCTCCCGCTTTTTTACGGGCTCAGGCTTAAAGTAAAAATCTGCAAGTAAGCAGTTCCTTCTGTTTGGGGTCCACCTCCTAAGGGAGGTAACCGTAGGAGTTACCACTGGCTTGCTGAGCTTCCTGCCGTGGTGCATTTACCACCCATAGGGATATTGTATCAAACTGTGATGTATTTGTTTTATTGACTTCTACTTCTGTCAAATCTGTGTTTCTAATCATGATAGCAAGTCGCACACCACTTGACACGTTTCGGTCCAGGACGGATCGAAACGTCGTCGTTTCTCCATTTTCTGATGTGTGGTTTGGTTAACATGTGTTCAGCCGCGTTATTATGACTCATCGTCTGCAGCAAGTGGCACTTTATCGTTTACACCTTGTGTGGGAGTGTTGGCACTGACACCTCCCTGTGTGTGTGTGTGGGAGTGTTGGCACTGACACCTCCCTGTGTGTGTGTGTGGGAGTGTTGGCACTGACACCTCCCTGTGTGTGTGTGTGGGGAGTGTTGGCACTGACACCTCCCTGTGTGTGTGTGTGGGAGTGTTGGCACTGACACCTCCCTGTGTGTGTGTGTGGGAGTGTTGGCACTGACACCTCCCTGTGTGTGTGTGAGAGTGTTGGCACTGACACCTCCCTGTGTGTGTGTGTGGGAGTGTTGGCACTGACACCTCCCTGTGTGTGTGTGGGAGTGTTGGCACTGACACCTCCCTGTGTGTGTGTGGGAGTGTTGGCACTGACACCTCCCTGTGTGTGTGTGTGTGGGAGTGTTGGCACTGACACCTCCCTGTGTGTGTGTGTGGGAGTGTTGGCACTGACACCTCCCTGTGTGTGTGTGTGTGGGAGTGTTGGCACTGACACCTCCCTGTGTGTGTGTGTGTTACGACCCTGGGTGTGCTTAGCTGCACGATCAATTAGGCTCCTCCCGGCACCACGATGAGGGAGGCAGCTGGGGGCTAGCTCGCTCTTCTCTCTGGCTGTGTCGTGCGGATAAGACCTACTCTGTGGCTGTATCCCTACTCTCCTCCCTTCTCCTCTTACTTATTTCCCTTACCTGAAGTTCCTGTATCCTTAAGCTAAGTACGGGGCAGTGTTGGCACTGACACCTCCCTGTGTGTGCCAGTGTGTGTTGTGTTTTGTGTTAGGGTACCACATGGTCTCACTACCCTAAGCTGCATCCAGCTTCAGTGCTTATCCAGTAGTACTTTACCCTAGCTGTTGGCACTGACACCTCCCTGTGTGTGTGTGTTATTATTATTATTGTTATTGGTGTGAGTGTATATGGGGGGTTGTTAAGGGGTTAATAAATAAGTACATGAATTACAGAGTATCTCTTCTTCCAAGGTGGGAGCGCAGTGATCAACCCTTAGACTAACATATATGGTCTTGTAGCAAGTTAGTGTTGGCACTGACACCTCCCTGTGTACCAGTGTGTTGTGTGTGGAGTGTTGGCACTGACACCTCCCTGTGTGTGTGTGTGTGTGTGTGGGAGTGTTGGCACTGACACCTCCCTGTGTGTGTGTGGGAGTGTTGGCACTGACACCTCCCTGTGTGTGTGTGTGGGAGTGTTGGCACTGACACCTCCCTGTGTGTGTGTGGGAGTGTTGGCACTGACACCTCCCTGTGTGTGTGTGTGTGTGTGGGAGTGTTGGCACTGACACCTCCCTGTGTGTGTGTGTGGGAGTGTTGGCACTGACACCTCCCTGGGTGTGTGTGGGAGTGTTGGCACTGACACCTCCCTGTGTGTGTGTGGGAGTGTTGGCACTGACACCTCCCTGGGTGTGTGTGTGGGAGTGTTGGCACTGACACCTCCCTGTGTGTGTGTGTGTGGGAGTGTTGGCACTGACACCTCCCTGTGTGTGTGTGTGGGAGTGTTGGCACTGACACCTTCCTGTGTGTGTGTGTGGGAGTGTTGGCACTGACACCTCCCTGTGTGTGTGTGGGAGTGTTGGCACTGACACCTCCCTGGGTGTGTGGGAGTGTTGGCACTGACACCTCCCTGGGTGTGTGGGAGTGTTGGCACTGACACCTCCCTGTGTGTGTGTGTGTGAGTGTTGGCACTGACACCTCCCTGTGTGTGTGGGAGTGTTGGCACTGACACCTCCCTGTGTGTGTGGGAGTGTTGGCACTGACACCTCCCTGTGTGTGTGTGTGTGGGAGTGTTGGCACTGACACCTCCCTGTGTGTGTGTGAAAGTGTTGGCACTGACACCTCCCTGTACTCACCTAATTGTACTCACCTAATTGTGCTTGTGGGGGTTGAGCTTTGGCTCTTTGGTCCCGCCTCTCAACTATCAATCAACTGGTGTACAGATTCCTGAGCCTACTGGGCTCTATCATATCTACATTTGAAATTGTGTATGGAGTCAGCCTCCACCACATCACTTCCTAGTGCATTCCATTTATTAACTACTCTGACACTGAAAAAATTCTTTGTAACGTCTCTGTGGCTCATCTGGGTACTAAGTTTCCACCTGTGTCCCCTTGTTCGTGTCCCACCCGTGCTGAAGAGTTTGTCTTTGTCCACCCTTTCAATTCCTCTGAGAATTTTGTAGGTGGTTACACACACACCTTCCTGTGTATGTGTGTGTGTGGGAGTGTTGGCACTGACACCTCCCTGGGTGAGTGTGAGAGTGTTGGCACTGACACCTCCCTGGGTGTGTGTGTGGGAGTGTTGGCACTGACACCTCCCTGGGTGTGTGGGAGTGTTGGCTCTGACACCTCCCTGGGTGTGTGGGGGAGTGTTGGCACTGACACCTCCCTGGGTGTGTGGGAGTGTTGGCACTGACACCTCCCTGGGTGTGTGGGAGTGTTGGCACTGACACCTCCCTGGGTGTGTGGGAGTGTTGGCACTGACACCTCCCTGGGTGTGTGGGAGTGTTGGCACTGACACCTCTCTGTGTGTGTGTGTGGGAGTGTTGGCACTGACACCTTCCTGTGTGTGTGTGTGGGAGTGTTGGCACTGACACCTCCCTGGTGTGTGGGAGTGTTGGCACCTCCCGCCTGAGGCACTGACACCTCCCTGGGTGTGTGGGAGTGTTGGCACCTCCCCACTGAGGCACTGACACCTCCCTGGGTGTGTGGGAGGGTTGGCACCTCCCCACTGAGGCACTGACACCTCCCTGGATGTGTTGGCACCTCCCCCCTGAAGTACCTTACCTCCTTGGGTGTGTGGGAGTCGTGGAAGAAGATATGGAAGGTGACCAGCTTCCTGATCTCTGACCTGGCACACTGGCGCAGGTACAGTATGGTGGCGACGGTGGCGTTGAAGTCGTCCCCGGGGGCGTACAAGGCAATGCTCACGGGGCCCTGAAGAGGTATTGTTGAGGTCATCACGCTGCTCAATACTGGTGATAATTACACAGAGAAATCACACTAATATGATATATATATCAATGAGAAAATCAACTGGAGCTCTTAGGTGACTCGAACCCCCTCCCACGCCACCAATGGACTGCAAACCGCCACCTCTACCACTGTATAGGTATGTGGTGTTAGCGGTACAGTGGGAGAGGTGGCGGCTGGCAGTCCGACGGTCGTGGGTTCGAGTTACCTAAGAGCTCCAGTTGACTTTCTCACTGGTGATAACCATATGGTCATTATGTTCTTAGTGATCATAGCAGCAACTTACATATATTTCAGTGCACACGTCCTCCAATAAGACCGGATTTTTGCACATACAACAGTACCTCCTTTGAATATGAACATGGAGAAGCGAACGAGGCATCGAATAGACCCATTGATTCATGTGTTCATATATATGTATTTATATGTGTAAATATATAAATATATATATATATATATATGTCGTACCTAGTAGCCAGAACTCACTTCTCAGCCTACTATTCAAGGCCCGATTTGCCTAATAAGCCAAGTTTTCCTGAATTAATATATTTACTATATTTTTTTTCTTATGAAATGATAAAGCAACCCTTTTCTCTATGTATGAGGTCAATTTTATTTTATTGGAGTTAAAATTAACGTAGATATATGACCGAACCTAACCAACCCTACCTAACCTAACCTAACCTATATTTATAGGTAAGGTTAGGTTAGGTAGCCAAAAAAAGCTAGGTTAGGTTAGGTTAGGTAGAGGTAGACGAAAAAACATTAATTCATGAAAACTTGGCTTATTAGGCAAATCGGGCCTTGAATAGTACGCTGAGAAGTGCGTTCTGGCTATTAGGTACGACATATATATATATATATATATATATATATATATATATATATATATATATATATATATATATATATATATATATATATATATATATATATATGTCGTACCTAGTAGCCAGAATGCACTTCTCGGCCTACTATGCAAGGCCCGATTTGCCTAATAAGACAAGTTTTCCTGAATTAATATATTTTCTCTAATTTTTTTCTGTTGAAATGATAAAGCTACCCATTTCATTGTGTATGAGGTAAAAAAAATTTTATTGGAATTAAAATTAACGTAGATATATGACCGAACCTAACCAACCCTACCTAACCTATCTTTATAGGTTAGGTTAGGTTAGGTAGCCGAAAAAGTTAAATTAGGTTAGGTTAGGTAGTCGAAAAACAATTAATTCATGAAAACTTGGCTTATTAGGCAAATCGGGCCTTGCATAGTAGGCTGAAAAGTGCGTTCTGGCTACTAGGTACGACATATATATATATCTCATTGAATATGACCGCATATTCTGTATTTACTATCTTCTGATTTAGGGCTTCTATCCCTCTAACTATTTTCTTAGCATCAGGGCTTAGCTGAAATAGGAGTTCTCCAAAACTCATTTTCGTAATTTCAAGGTGAAGAAAAAAGTGAATTACTATAGAATGTATTACACTTATTTATACAATTTGCACAACGTTTCGAACCTCCATGGTTCATTCTCAAGTGAAGAGATCTTACAATGCTGGTTGATTTTATACCCGCACTGGGTCAGGTGATAAGACAATAAAGGTAAAAACATGGGGGATACATAAGGGATAAATGGGGGATGAAGCACATAAGAACATAAGAATAAAGGTAACTGTGGAAGGCCTATTGGCCCATACGAGGCAGCTCCTATCTACATACAAAGATTAATCAGGTGTAATTGGCCTGTTATGTTGAACAGTGTCTTCTGTGTTGGCATCGTTGTGTTCTGGTCTTGTCCTTACTCTCATGGTGGGTAGAGTAAATAGTTCCGTGATTTGATATATTATTAAATATGACCGAAAAAGTAAGATTAATAATTCTAACACGAATTTTCTCGATCTTTCTTACGTTTCTTTTCACTGTTGATGGTAATTCAAAAATCAATTCTCCAAAATTCATTTTTATTTCTAGTCTGACGGGACACTTGAGCGCGTTTCGTAAAATTTATTACATTTTCAAAGACTTTAGTTTACACACACACACACAACTTTAACTGAATAGAGCTTAAACATCTTCGAGTTTTTTATACCTACATTTGGTATAAAAAGATGTTAAAGCTCTATTCAGTTAAAGTTTTGTGTGTGTGTGTAAACTAAAGTCTTTGAAATTCACTTCTCTCTAGGTTAGGTAGGGTTGGTTAGGTTCGGTCATATATCTACGTTAATTTTAACTCAAATTTAAACAAATTAACTTATGCATAATGAAATAGACAGATTTATCATTTCATAAGAAAAAAATTAGAGAAAATATATTAATTCAGGAAAACTTGGCTTATTAGGCAAATCGGGTCTTGCATAGCAGGCCGAGTACGACGTTCTGGCTACTAGGTACAACATTTTATATATATATATATATATATATATATATATATATATATATATGGAGGATCGAAACGTTGTGCAAATTGTAGAAATAAGTGTAATACATTCTATAGTAAATCACTTCTTTTCTTTACCTTAAAAGTACGAAAATGAGTTTTGCAAAGGGCCTATTGTATCTTCTGATTTTTGTCTGTAGGGATAACGTTCTTATTAACAATATCTTTCAGGACCCTTTCCTCCGTTTTATGAGTTGTGGAAAAGAAGTTCCTGTAAAATAGTCTAATTGGGGGTACAAGTGTTGTGTTGTTTCTTCAGAGGTTGCATGGCATTTCACCTTCCTTCTTATGATGTCTTCAACGAAACCATTGGAGAAGCAATGTTGACTAGGACCTGCCTTACCCTACAGAGTTCTTTATCGACTTGCCTCCATCCTGAGCTGTGGCTGAGAGCACGGTCGACATAAGCGTTAACAACACTCCTCTTGTACCTGTTTGGGCAGTCACTGTTGGCATTGAGGCACATTCCTATGTTTGTTTCCTTAGTGTAGACTGCAGTGTGGAAACCTCCGCCCCTTTTCATGACTGTTACATCTAGAAAGGGCAGCTTCCCATCCTTCTCCATCTCGTAAGTGAAACGCAACACAGAATTCCGCTCAAATGCCTCCTTTAGCTCCTGCAGATGTCTAACATCAGGTACCTGTGTAAAAATGTCGTCAACATACCTACAGTATATGGTCGTTTTCAAGTTCATCTCGACTAAGACCTTTTGTTCAATGGTTCCCATGTAGAAGTTCGCAAACAGGACACCTAGGGGAGAACTCATGGCGACCCCATCTACTTATACATGTGCCCATCCAAGCTCTAGAAGGGTGCCTCTTTAGTACAAGTTTGGAGTAGTTTCCTTAGAATGTTTTCTGGTATGTCAAGAGGAGTACAGGCCGGATCACGATACACTCTGTCCGCTATTATCCCGATTATTTCATATACAGGTACGTTGGTAAACAGTGATTCTATGTACAACGAGGCTCTTATCCCTGTGGCCCGTGTTTCCCGCAGTAAGTCAAGAAATTCCTTTGGAGACTTCAGGCTGAAGGCGCAAGGGAAATAAGGAGTCAGCAAGCCGTTGAGTTGCTTCGCCAGTCTGTACCTGGGTGCGGGTATCGGGCTGAGATTGGCCGAAGTGGGTTTCCAGGCTTGTGTGTCTTGACATTTCCATACGCATATCCAGGTTTGTATTCCCCAATGATCTTTGGCAGGTGGAGTCCAGATTTCTTGGCGTTCACAGTTTCGATCAATCTGTTTACCTTCGTTTTCAATTCGGCTGTAGTGTCCTTCGTTACACTTTGGAATTTAGTTTGGTCAGAGAGTATGAGGTTCATTTTTGCCAGATATTCTTCTTTTTTAAGAATGACGTATATTGGCGACTTGTCACCTCTCCTGATGACTATATCCTTGTTCTCATGAAGGCTCTAAGCTGCCGCTTTGAGTTCGGGGGACAGTATTGTGCTTCTGTAGTTACCTCGAATCTTTCCTCCTTTTGCAATAAGTTCTGCTTGCAAGGAGTCTTTAGTGGTAACCTTCGTTTGCTTCTTGAGGTCGAATATATCATCCAATAGCATCTCCAACTCCACTTTCCTGGCCATCTCACTAGGTCTGGAAATAACATGACAGTTTATACCCAGATTTAAGAGAGTAATTTGGTCCTGAGTGAGGTTGATTCCAGCAAGGTTTAAGAAGCCGTCTATGGGTCATGGAATCGCCATAGGTCCTCCAAACAGTGTTGTCAGTTTTTTGATGATCCTGGTTTCGGTGCTGTGGTGATGTTGATCTGAAAGGATGTCGAGGTGTTGGTCGATGCGACCTCGGAGGTCTTCGTCGATGTTGCTGTTTCTTTATTGGTTTGTAGCATGAAGCATTTGTGTTTTGCTGCCTTTGATCTCATTTTCTACCTTGTGTATCTGATGTCGAATCAGATCTTGGCGATATTTTATCGTGGAGGCTTGGTTTCTTGCTGCAGAGTCGTGCGTTTATATATTAATATATTTTGGTGGCAGTCTTTCTTGTAAACATATGTTGTTGAATATGACCAAAAAAGTAAGATTAATAATTCTAACACGATTTTTTCTATTTTTCTTGTATTTTTCTTCACTGTCGGTGGTAATGAAAAAATCAATTCTCTAAAATTCATTTTTTATTATTGGTCTGACACTTAAAAGCGTTTCGTAAGGGCTTCTAACATTCTCAAAGACTTCTTTACACTTAACACTACACTTATGAACTACAATTTTATGATACACTTGATGAACTGTGTATGAAACATTTGACATAACGCTTCGCTTTTTATTGGTTTGGGTGAGGAGGGTACATGAGAATGGAAGTTAGAGTCAACTAACACAACACCTGTACCCCCTATTAGACTATTTTACAGAAACTTCTTCTCGACAGCTCATAAAACGGAGGAAAGGGTCCTGAAAGATAGTGTTGTTAGGAACGTTATCCCTACAGACAAAAATTAGAAAATACAATTGACGATTTACTATAAAACCAAAAAAAACGGCCAACCTACTCATGAAAATCTCTCCAGACACAAAGCAGAATGCCTTGAAAGAGACCAACGTTGTCTGTGCCTTCAAATGCCCACTTGGGGACTGTAAGCCCCAAAGAACTCTGTATATAAGCAAGTAATGGCTCAAAAGGGCCACCACTCACGGGCTATTCATGCCCGTGCCACCTCTTGGGTGGCTTAATCTTTATCAATCAATCAATCTATTTAGTGTTAGTATAAGTAAGACTTTGTTTAGTGTTTTTAGGTTACAATTGTGTGTGGAAACTAAAGTCTTTGAAAATGTAATATGTTATTACGAAACGCCTTCAAGCGTCGCGTCAGACTAGAAATAAAAATTAATTTTGGAGATTTGATTTTTCAGTTATCATCCTCAGTAAAGGGTAGTGCCTAGAGTGCACCATCTCAACGAAAACGGATCAAACAGGTGAATTTACTGTGTGGAATATAAGGGCATTGAGGGCCACGCTGGCACCCTGTAGGCCTCCCACAGTGAAGGTGTTGGGGGAAGGGGTGTTGCTGTGCGGTCAGGCGATGGGGGGGAGGGGGGTCACCCAGTGTTTAGAGAAATATATTTGGGAAAGAAAAACAAAAATTAACAATTATGAATACTGTTAATGGAGCTCACAGTGTGTCAGACTACAAGTGTATGATTCACAGTGCCTGTTGCAGAGATGTGTCATCCTCCATGCACTCAGATATGGCACAGGTCACAGCAAGCATTCATGTTCCTCCCAAAAGGGAGGGTATATATATATATATATATATATATATATATATATATATATATATATATATATATATATATATATATATATATATATATATATATTCCTGTTCCAGGGCCTCAGTGTCGCAGTTCAGAGGGGAAATGCGTGCTGTATCCTGGGTATGCACCCAACCTCCGAGGAGCTGGACGAGGTCTTCGAACGCTGATTGTTTAATTGTTATATATGTATATATATATATATATATATATATATATATATATATATATATATATATATATATATATATATATAAATATGTATATAAATTGGGTGTTAATAGAAAATAATTATGTATATGTAACACATACAAAATATGTGACTAGAGGAGGGAACAAGACAACATGGCTTCACGCTACTCACAATGGTCAAATAGATGACAAGAGTTAGACACTTAAATGACGTAACGAAATGTTGAATAAATCAAGCAAGTGGATAAGACAGAAGTGAACAAATCCTCAAGGGCCGTGACGAGGATTCGAACCTGCATCCGGGAGCATCCCAGACACTGCCTTAATCGACTGAGCTACGATTTGAATCCTTGTCACGCCCTTGTGGATTTGTTCATTTCATGCATCTCTGTGTGTAGAGACAGGAGTGAAAGCGTGCAAAGTAGAAGTGATGGTGTTGTCTGACCTGCCAGTGAGCCGTCACTGGGTCGAGGTTAGCGAGGAAGGTGTATTCTCCATGGGTAGTGTAGGTGATGGATTCGTTACAGCGGAAGGTCAGGTCGGCAGGAATGTAGTTCTCCAAGACCCAGTAGTCTCCCCGCTGGTAGTAGAAGTTTCTCTGAAGTCCTGCAGAGCACCTATGCAGGTCCGGGTACATTTTTCTCTGTAGGGAGTTCGCTGTTGGTCCTGAGGAAGAGGGAGCATTGCAGTCTTCCCCCTGGCAGCGAACAGCATTCGAGCCACTTGTGTCAAAATGTGAATTTTTCTTTGCAGTCGTGAGACTGGGAGACCCGTTGTCGCAGAGCCAGAAGGGACACCACAGGAACATAAACATCACAATGTTCATGAAGAGCAACAGGCCGATCTTCATCCTTCTTACTGGTGTCATTGTCTGGTCCTATCCTGCAGGAAATGTTATTTTACAAATTAACTTTTGTATCACCCAGCGTCCTACAACTCTTGCTTACACTTAATCTACTACAGTATTGATGTTATCGATCACGGTGTCAACATTTTAGGGCTTACTGCGATATTGGCGCTTCTGTGGAAAATTTCCACCAAAATTATAGTATAACGTGTCTGAGTAACATGATCTATGAGAGAGCACATGGACCAGACATGGTTGTTTATAGAACGAGCCAAGCTCTCCCAAGACAGAGTGTCAGGTCAGCATATTTCCACCCTTTTGAGAATACACCATCCCAGGGGAGGTTGTTGTTGTTGTTGATTTAGGGGCGACGACGATCGTGGGATCGGATGCACCCCGGTGTACCCGTATAGGGGTACTCGCAAAACTGAAGACAGGCAGATGATTGGGGAGCCCCTGGAGTCTTTCAGGGTGACAAACACAGACCCCACCCCACAAATAGAACACCGGGTAGCAAAACTAAATACACGGCCCCCCAACAAAAACGCAAAAAGTCATCCAGTGCCCTCCGGCAGAGCAAAAGCCGGCCGCCCAATATGGCTGAGGGCACACTAGGAGTTCACCAAGACCCACCAACTCCTGGCACCTCTCGGCCAAGCCGGCGCCGGACACCGTCACCCCGCCAAGAGAACCAACCAGAAAACGTGAAAAAAATTGATCAACAATCCTGTGACCCAAGGTGATATGAGTGCCAGGCGTGGTCTGGACCGATCATTGAATAGGGACGCCAAACGGAAGTATCAAATCCAAAACGAGAAAATAGAACGTGATCCGGCGGCTCCCAGGCAGAGTAGGTGTCAAGACGTCCATGCGTCGTCAAGGTTGAATAAAAAATCCATCCCAATAAGGCATCTGCAATGGTTCTATACCAGGATATGTAATTAAATCTAATAGCTATAAGCATATCATGGTACAACTCCAAAATAAATACATATACTAAAAAAATAATTGTTTAACCAGATACGTTTGGTTAACGATCGTATAAATCGACCTTTAAAACAGCCAGGGTAACTATGCCCGCCTTGAGGTGGATATAGTGTGTCTAGGCGCTGCCGTGACACTAACAGAAACTCCACCACATTAAGAAATTGAGGACTCCTGGTTCAACCTTGATGCCGAATGGTCGTCTGGACACCTTCTTTGCCTGGGAGCCGCCGGATCACGTTCTGTTTTCGCGTTTTGGATTTGATACTGCTGTTTGGCGTCCCTATTCAATGATCGGTCCGGACGACGCCTGACGCTCATATCGCCAACGGCTCACTTTTGGTTTTGCGATTTTGGATTTGATACTGCCTTGTCAACGGTCCAGTTGTACGACGCCTGGCTCACGTATCGCCTTGGGTCACTGGGATGTTGACATATATTTTTTTCATGTGTTTTGGGTGGTTCTCCTGACGGGATGACGGTGTCCGGCGCCGGCCTGGCCGAGAGGTGCCGGGAGTTAGTTGGTCCTGGTGTGCCCTCAGCAATGGTGGGCAGCCGGCTTCTGCTCTGCTGGAGGGCACTAGATGAATTTTGTGTTTTCGTTGGTGGCCGAGTTTTTGGTTTTGCTACCTAGTGTTCTCAGTGTGTGGCGTGGGCTGGGGCCGGTGATTGTCACCCTGAGGGACTCCTGGGGCTCCCCAATCATCTGCTTGTCTGCATTTCTTTGCCGCAAGGCATATAAGTTTCCAGTGATTGACGTCACTCGTTTCGCGATTACGCTTGGCGTTTCACCTTTCCGGGCTTCACGATTAACCCTTCACGGATTCGCCAGGGCGCAGCCGATCCAACGATCGTCGTCGCCCCAAAATCAACAACAACAACACCAATATTAAGAAATCACACCATATTGATACACGCTTAGTTTTAGCTGTTTTATATCTATGGACCTTTGTATACCGATGTAAATTATAGCTATAAAACCGACTAAAGCACTCATAGACCATTTAAAAATGCTGAAAAATTGCGTGAAAATATAAAGAAACTGTGAGGTAGATTAGTAATACTGGACTACATTTGACGTCAAGAGTCGACGGAGTCCACCAGAAGCTTCAACATCACTTCAACAACGGTAGTGAACAACACTACATACTCTGGCCTACAGGAGGGTTTAAGTCTTGTCAAAATAAGACTGAGAGCTCTGTATCTGTATATTACCACAAAATAGGGGAGATTGGTGGTGTTATTAAAGGTTTGGATCCAAATTCTTTGTGCCACTCACCCCATTTATTGCAGGTGTGGTTAAACTGTGGGCTTATGAGCCCATTGCAGTAAGTCAATTACTGGCCACTTAATTCAATATATACTAATTAGGTTAATCAAGATTTAACAAATAAATATTTGATGTATTGCAATTGCTTAAAGATAAATTGAAGTATAGATTTGCAATAGATAAATTAATAACAATAAAAAATTAAATAACCAATGTTGTCAATCTATATAAATAAAAATGTAAATGTTCATTTGTTCAAAATCGCTAATCTCCGAAAGTTCTTCACCGATTACTTTGAAATTTTCACACAATGTTCCATTCACATCCGAGCGGGTTTGTATATACATACATACTATATAGATGTCACATCTGTAGAGGGAAAAAACATGTTTTGTTTTTTTGGGAAAACTGTGTTTTTCATGTGAGTGAAATCTTCGAAACCTCTTTACCGATTTCTTTGAAATTTTGACAAACATTGCATTCGAATAGGCGCGTGTTTTAATATACCGACTATATACATGCCTCACCTGTGACAGGAGAAAACTGTTTTTTTTTTTAAACAAAGCAATCTGTTGGACATAAGAGCAACACACGCTGTAATCTCTGAAAGTTCTTCACCGATTGTTCTGAAATTTTTACTGAACGTTCCATTTGAATACGCGCACGTTTTTATATACCTACTATATAGATGCAACACCTGTAACAGGTAAAAACTTTTTTTTGTAAAAACATTGCCATTTATTGCTCACAAGAGCAACACATGCTATACTAAATATGTTACAACTCCATTTCAATGTTTTCGATTGCACTGATCAATTGAATTTTCATAGATTTCGATTTAATTTCATTTTGATTTAATTATTTTGTGGGACATTGCCTTGGAATTGAGCTGTGTTGTTTACCATACCGTTCATTTCATGAGTATAGTTTATTTTTTTATTTTTTCATTGTTTCTCATTTGGTTTTTAACTGTTCTTGTTATTTCTCAGTAATGGGAACATCAGATCATTTGATATTCCCAATTTTCTGAAGGGAATACCAGATCATTTGGGAATGCATCAGACGAGGGAGTGGGGAATGGTGGGGAGGACGAGGGGACGGGAGTGGGGGATGGTGGGGACAACGAGGGCACTTGGAAGGGGGGTAATGGTGGGGAGGACGAGGGGACGGGAGGGCACGGAGGAGTTAGGGATGGGGGGACGGAGGGGGGACTGGAGAGGTGGGGAGGACACGGAGGAGTTAGGGATGGTGGGGACGGGGGTTGGAGGGGGGACTGGAGAATGGTGGGGAGGACAAGGGGACTGGAGAGTGGGCGAGGAAGAGGGGGCAATAGTAGGGAGGACGAAGGGATGGGGAAGTAGGAGAATGGTGGGGAGAACTAGGGGATGGTGGGGAAGACAAGGGGACGGGGGAGGGGGGAATGGTGGGGGGGACGAGGGGGGATGGATGGAGGGAGTGGAGAATGGTGGGGAGGACGAGGGGCAGAGGAGTGGGGAATGGTGGGAGGACGAGGGGACGGGGAAGGGAAAATGGTGGGGGAGGACTGGGGGACAAGGGAAGGTTGCTGTTGCCCAGCAACGCACACGCGTTGCTGAACCACAGCAACGCGTGGCCGGATACAGTTAGTGTTTATAATATAATTCATGTATAGCAAAGTACCAGAATTAAAAGGATAGGCTAAAAAAATTAGAACCGTATTAGTTCTAGCTGCATTATAAATATTTGTATTATTACCAAGTTGTAATGTGTGGCTATTTCAATCCGGTAGATAAATGAAAGCAGCCCCATTCCTGCTGGAGCTCCCTGACAGCGAGGCACCTAGGGAACACTGATATAATAAACACAGTCCACTAAACAAAGAAGGCATCAGTTTTCTTAGAGGCCACTGTATATGACTACTAGCACTGTAGACAGCTAAGGTTATGTTTGTAGTTAGACTTTTACTATAGTGAGTCAGAAACTAGACCCCACAGCTTCCTCTGGATAATTAATATTGACTTTAGTTGGGTTGCGTAGGTTCTAAGACGCTTCAAATTCAAATGACATCTTGAGAACGGCCGGTCTCTTTACCACATTATATATTTTCTTTCTTCATTAAGTAAGGCTGTATGTGTGAAAACGAAAAGTCGCAAGGAGGGTCATACATGTTTATCATCAACCATCATAACATCATCCACCAGCGCCTGTCCCATAACCTCACCCACCAGTGCCTGTCCCATAACCTCACCCACCAGTGCCTGTCCCATAACCTCACCCACCAGCGCCTGTCCCATAACCTCACCCACCAGCGCCAGTCCCATAACCTCACCTACCAGTGCCTGTCCCATAACCTCACCTACCAGTGCCTGTCCCATAACCTCACCTCGCAGTGCCTGTCCCATAACCTCACCTACCAGTGCCTGTCCCATAACCTCACCTCGCAGTGCCTGTCCCATAACCTCACCTCGTAGTGCCTGTCCCATAACGTCACCCACCAGTGCCTGTCCCATAACCTCACCTACCAGTGCCTGTCCCATAACCTCACCTACCAGTGCCTGTCCCATAACCTCACCTACCAGTGCCTGTCCCATAACCTCACCTCGCAGTGCCTGTCCCATAACGTCACTCACCAGTGCCTGTCCCATAACCTCACCTCGCAGTGCCTGTCCCATAACCTCACCTCGCAGTGCCTGTCCCATAACCTCACCTACCAGTGCCTGTCCCATAACCTCACCTACCAGTGCCTGTCCCATAACCTCACCTACCAGTG